AAATATTCGCGTGTCTTTTTTCAAAGTCTTGTGGTTTTTATCTTGGTTCGTTTTCAATGTCCCCTTCCTTTCACTCTTCGATTATCGTGGTATCCTTTATTTTGCGGGCTCTGTTCAATTATTTTCGTGTATTCAGTTCTCTCCTCGGGGTCTGTTTGGAAACTCTCGATGGCGTGGCGACAATTATCTTTTTCCACCTCCATGTCTTCTATGCATTGCCTTTTCCCCTCCTATATGACCGTGTCGTTAAAGCAGTCGGGTTGAGTTGGTGTTTTGGGTGTGAAAGTCTGGGGGGCGGTTGACCTGGAAGAGTTGTGTCTGGCTTGCTATAGTTTTGGCCTACTTTTTTCTCCTTATCAACGTAGGTTCTTATTTATTCGTTTTTTGTTCTTCCCTTTTCCTTTTTTTTTTCTCTCGCCTCTCTTGATCTCTTCCCTTCTCTATATATGACGAAGCCCTCGCTTCGGATACTGTATTTTTGTTCTCCCTGTTTTCCACCTTCCCTCTTCCTCCCTCCCTTCCCCTCTCCTCCCCCATTTTTCTATTTTCGTTGTGTACTTTTGTTTAAGAGGTGCTAGTTATTCTCATCGTAAACTATGGACTGTTCTTTCTCCTCATTCAGTAAACACCTTATCACTCATGAAGTGAACTAAACAAAAGAGTTTTTTACTTCTATCCACTTAGGCAAAAGTCTGGTTCGGACCTGGAGCGTAAGAAAAATTAAGGGCCTAATGGCTGTTTAATCTACTCTTCCGGGCTGTTAACATATCGATAACATAAGATTCCACAAAATTTATAGATGTACACTTGTTTCATAGATGGACCTAGTTGAATGTGGCGGGGAGAGGGCTTCTCCCGTTCTTGAAACTCAGCATGGGTGATTTGTTCAGTGGGCATATCAGTTTTTGTGCCATTTAAAATTTAGGCCACCTAATAAATGTATATCAGAACATGGAATATCTACAACGGCATAGTGGGTATATAGGATGGGCTGTTGCCGAGCCCTCGGCCCAATCCTTGGAGCTATGTTGTCTTCCCGGAAGATGTCTGATGGCGATGGCATTGGTGTTTCTCAAGCTGGGTATTCTTCATTGTCGCTCTTCATGCGGCTGTCCACTCATCGCCATACTCGTTCATACCATCTCCCGTCCCCATTTCCTCCCTCTCCAATTAACACATCGTTACCGCTCATGTTCCTCTTCCGCATTTTCCCCGCATGTTCTCCTTCGGTTTCAAACGTCCAGTGCTCAATCCCATAGCACCGCTTCCATTTCATATTATCGTCCAGATCCTGATACTCGTACCAGAACTGCACTGCAATTCTGTTATCCGTGAAGGCAAACAGCTCCTTGCGCAGTTTGTAGTTTATCTCCTTCGCAAATTTATTGGTCAGAAAGGTCTCAATGGCCTCTGTGCCGCTGAAAAATTGGTCTCTGTTCCTCCAGGTGCTGGTGGGGGTGTAGGCCTTTGCGATTTCGGGTGGGTTTCTACATTGGAATTAACTATCCATGATATGGTATATGTACAGGGTCATATGTATACATAGCTGCCATACCAGGGAGATTTATGACAGTAATATGTTCTACCTACTTTGAGTTCCAGAGATCCTGCGCTCGCTGCACTTTCTGCTTAGCGGTCTCCTCCGTGTAGGGAGGCAAGAGCCCTGCCATTTTTAATTTTATGGTCTACTTATGCCTCAGAATGTTGGAAGTATTGTGGCGGACGTAGTAGATTGCTCAAGACTGCAGCAACAACATCGGATTCTGCAACAAAAGATTGAGAACAGGTTCAACAATATCTCTCTGATGCTAGAGGGTAAACCACCAAACTGGACAGTAAATGGGTCGAATGGAAAATCTCTAGGGGAGAGCTTCATCGCACAAAACGCCAACCAGCCTTTTAGTGGGCCTTGTTCAGCCGCCAAAAGGTGGGCCATAAATGACGTCATAGATGGAGTACTTGCCCTCGTGCCAGGAGTTGAGGTTAAAGCACAAACCTATTCTCTACAGCGTAGATCAGTATGGCCTGGTCATGCCAGATGCCATTGGTTATCCCCTATTCTTTAGAATATCATGACCTGGTCATGCTTGGTGTCATTTCTAGGTGAAATATTCTCCTCTCTTTAACCTGTCATGGCCTGTTCTTACGAAAATGGTGGCCTTGCTAACTGGTCCAGTATATGTTTTCCCATTTGTCACTCCTTGTTCTTCCAGGAGGGACGAGAATCAGTTGACAAGGAATAGGACAGTGAGACATCCATTGAGTGTTGCTAGGAGCACGCAAAGTCAATCCCACCAAAAGCCCTTGCCCTTCGTGGTCCGGACCAGAAGGGCGTCAAGCAGTGATTTGGCTGGTTTGCATCGCCTGATGTGATGTTTTACCGGGGTGTGGAAAAGCGATCTAGGCATTTGCTTTCATGAGCCATTTCCTCACAAGAGGTTTCTCCCGAGAGGATTCTTGTCACAGAAGAGGCTTTCTAAATAAGTACTCTTTAATGGCCAAGCCGGGTTTATTTACCGGGGTTGACAGGGACGTTTGAAATATTTGAAAAGCCTGGCTGATGAAACAACAGCATGGGCCCTGTGTATTCGTTACTACTTGCAGCGACTCAGCGGGACACTGTTTGGAGCGCTAAAAAGTCAAAATATTGGGCGACAAAGGGCATTTAGATGGGGAGGTCCGAGCGGCGTATACGATTAGGGAACCTGACAGTGCATATGCGCCCGCTACATAAGTGTGAGTATATTTAACAATTCAATACAACATGGCAATTTTTTGATTATTATTGAATGTTTCGTGATGGAGGACGGGAGCAAGTGAAGCCCGATTTGGTCGGTTTCTGGCTCTTCGGATGTGGCTTGCTTTTAAGCGCGGTCTAGTTGTTTTGTGAAGCGCCATACATACGCCTGGACACATGAGAGCCATCACAAAACCCATTCACCACAACCAATACTTTTCTTATTACCCCATAGCTTTTAAAACAGATCTATTCTCGATCATACCCGTGGCCATCGGATTCGAACCTTTTCGGATATCGCTGGAAATTTGTATAGTGCTGTTGTTTCAGTCTGGCGTTTACCCTCTCCTCACCCCTGGCGATGGTATCAGAGCGGCGCAGCTTTGTTAACAGGTGGAAGACATCTCGTTTCGTTGGTCGCTATCTCTGGACCTAACCAGGGACGTGAACCTGTGGGGATAAGCTCTCCAATCATGCCGGAGCCAGCGACCATCTCCTTTCCGCATGGAGTGTTTTGAGGTGGACGCAGGTTCTCACTTCCATTCACTCCCATCTCAATGGGAGCCAGCCGGCAGCAAGAATAGCACTGGCTCTAAGGATGTCAGTGGTTCGCTATGAGAAGATCTACCAGGCCTACGCTTTTCTGAGAAGTAAGAGATTGTGTATAAATAGGGGTCTATTCCAATCGACAGTCTCACTCGCTGTACTCTTAAAATTCAAGTTGTCATCACATTTGAGAGTTGTTTACGTACTATTTTCAACCTATTCCCCTGCAAAGCATCTGCACTTTCAACGCCATCTCTAAGCCAAGTGTTCCTTCCTGAAAAGAAAATCCTCCAGCGCGAATTTGATCGCTTCCTGTTATAGCCCAATCACAATTTTTCTCAACCTCCCGATCACGACGGAATCTAAGATTTTTCACTTCAGTATCTATCCCGACGAAGCTCTTTCGCCTTTCGGATTTTCAAAAGTACCGCAAGTAACCCTAAGGATAATGACTTCTTGCACTCTCCTCGAATGTCTTACCGAGCCAAACCCAGAACTCGACAGCTCAAACTCTCTAATAGGCCGGCCGACTTTTCAGCAATATTCTGAGACCATTGAGCTAACTCCGTGGCATGATTTCACGTTGGATACTCTTCTAGCTTGTTACGGCGATATTTTACGCAAACCGAGATCATCCCTTCCCAAATGTTCCCCAGACCTAACCAAGCTCGAAAGTGAAATTTGGAATGAACATACCTTTGAGCATCGAATGACTCGTCCTATAGTCCCCCAGGTTAGCGTTGGCCTGGTACAGGCTCAGAGCGAAATGAGAGTGAGTAGTGCCATCGACATGACACGAGGCGGGAGAACAAAAATTGGACAACCTCAGCCTTCCGGTTTTCTTAGTAAAGACGAGGAAAACAAACAATCATTGCCGGACTGGGCAGGTGCCGTCAAAGCTGAACGTGGGACCGGATACGTCAACCGCTGCCCCGGAGAAACAAAACTTGCGCAGAAATAAAAGTCGACCATAGATAGCTCTACTGCGGGCTTCTATTAGCCGATCGCGCAAGCTATTAAGTACTATAAATACCACTGGCAGACACGATATGGATACTTAATGACTCAGGAAGAAGTTGTGGTCATGCGATTCTCACGGATGAAAGTCGGCTCAGGTATCGCAATGAACCGGTCGCCTCGGGGACTTGTTCCAAACCGAGGATTGTCGTCCGGATCTCACCAGCGAAAAGACTCACATTCGTCAGCATCCAGTCAAATGCAAATAGACGCTAGATCACCTCAGCATTCACGCCAATCCTCGGAACAAAAACATTTACATTCCCGGTCGCACCAACGCAACATTTCTCTAACGCCCTCCATCGGTCAAATGTCCATTGATGACGGATTCCCAGGGCGATCACGCCAGTCCTCGCCATCTATTGGCATGGGGGGTGGGGGCTATTCGACGGCGTCATCCTATCACGACCATGGCGAAGGTGTCGAGATTCAACCTGTCGAAGTCAAGAGCATCCCATGGAGTAACAGTGGACCAAAAAAGCTAACTGTGAAGCTTGCACTTTGGTGGATTCACATGCTCTCAGGCGCCGGCTGTGACGTAGATATTGGCCATGACTATCCGCCCCTCCATTCCTGGACACTCCACAACGCCCGTCTACTCCTCAGAATCGAGATGAGAGCATTTCTTCTCTCTCGAGTCCGCTATCATCTCTTCCCAGCCGATTAGGATCCTCGCCAAATTACATTGCCTCACCACCAGCTCGGCGACCTTTCCCCCCTGAGCGGTCGCCGCCTAGGGGAAGCTATTTGAGTATGGAAGACATAGCACACTTGAAATTTGACGAATCTAAGGACATGTTTATGTATCTCGCCAAAGGGGTTAATGAGTGGCGATATAAAAACCGCGGAACTCGGGTCTGGAGCAGCAAAACCCGCAAATTTTAAATTCTGGACGTGATAGAAGGGGAAATAAAGTACCATGAGATAGAATACCCCAATGAACCGCCACCCGACGCTTCCAGCAATGGCAGTGGCAGAGAGAGTTATCACAGTAATGGAAAGGGCAAACAAAAGCAGTGATTGTCAGTGAGAGAATCTTTTTTTTGGTAGTTCAGTGATGGACCCACAATCTGCAGGCACTCAGTTTTGCATTTCTTTCAGCATTGAGTGTCAGAGATCAATGGCTCTGATGTTAACTTTTTTCATTTCATTTTTCTTCTCTCTGTGGCTCTATTGCTCTATTATTCTATTGTTCTGTAGTTCTGTAGTTCTGTAGTTCTGTTGTTTCACTGTTATTTGTCTCATCTTTTTATGTCAGGTTGCCCGCCCAGGCCTAGTTGAATAGCCCAATTCTCACGATTTATTTTCTTTTTGTTAGAGATGAATACAGAGTATTACCTATTGAAGTATAAAAAGCCAACTATACTTTGGAGGATATCTCAAGAACATTCACAACTGACCACCGGGTTATTCCCAGTTGATGAAAAATTATTAGGGATACGACACAACTTAGACTTCCTTCTCAGGGTTCAACCACCGATTTGTCTCATCTCCCTGTAATTGTATAAATGGCTCCTCCTGGTTTTCCTGTTCATCTTGCTTTTTCTTTAACCACTCCTCCAGCTTTTTTGCGGCAGCCACATTTTTCTTGTGCATATCATTGAAAAACTTATCGACAGGTTTTCCGTCCCAATCAGAGGGTTCCCAATTACTAAAACATCGATCCATACCAGCAAATATCTCCCTGCGTCTTGCATTCCACCAGAAACGGCGGATTTCAGGATAGGTGATCGTATTGCCCAAATCCATGATAAATGAACCGCGATAATTCTCAGGTTTGACATCTCCAGGCCACAGCAGAGCTTTACGAGCTATTTGCATTTTGCGGCGTACTTCTGGGATATCATTCATGCTGATTTCATCAGGAATCATGTCTTTTATGATAGCCCATCGACAGAATATTTGATGCTTGTTGCCCAACTCTTTAAACTGACTATCATTAAGCTTGATCCACCCATGGCATTTTACTGCCCATATACCATTTTCGCCAACACTGTCGAGACGGGCAAAAGCACGGGCTTCACGGACGAAAGGAGCCATCAGCATCCTCTCATGTGCCTTGATTCTGTTGGGGAAATCCGTGTCATAATATGGCCAGTGCTTAGCCTGGACATGTAGAAATGCATACCATTAGATTGATTGTGCGATGCAACCGTGATGCCAACAGCATTATTTCACCAGTAAGAATGGGCCAAATACGCTTGGATGAAAAGAAAGTACACTACATACCAGCTTTAAAGCATATGACTTGCCTTCGCATTCAATGTGGTAAACACAGGACTCTGCGCCCGCTCCGAGGAATCCAAGCCGATTGATAGGTTTGTCGTGGTGAATGAAACGACGTAGTTGAGGTTTCGACGTAGACTTGCGCTCTGGGTGATCCATTGGTAGCTCTGAGAGCCACTGTCCGATAATGGAGTCATCGAGTTGCAGCTTAAGTTCCCCGCTCGACGGTTCAACGGTCATGTTGCTGAACGCGAGATGGCAATGACGAAGTGAACTGCTGGGATTGGATTGCTGTGGTCACTTTCTCGAGGGAAAGAGAGCCCGCGTTAAGAGCAGCGGACAACAAAAAAAAAAAAAAAAAAAGAAGAGAGAGCCATTTGAAACTCCCGCTGAGATTCGTGCTCTTGTTGCACGCAATCTCCCCATGATCACCGACTGTTAGCTGTTAGTTGAAAGATGCTGTTGGTCGCGTCTCCCCCGAACGCGGGAAAGCTGGTTCAGGCACCAGGTCACCTGACTCTGCACCCTCATCAACGACGGTTGGTCCCAACAGGCGCAACAAACTAACAATTTACCGCCTCTCTTCCTGCCGCCGCACCCCATGAATTATTGGCCAGTCGCTATTATTGGCCTATGTGATTCCAACAGTAGGCACCAGGATTGAACCGCGCTTCAGATAAATGTGGCTTAAGTTCCAAAAATTGCTAATCGCCTTCCTTGAGGCATTAATGCCTCGCTCTCGGTCGATTGCTGTTGAGCATCAAAATGATAGTATTTTTACGCTGGAACGTACAAACTATCTGCAAGTGGAATTCCAAGTTAGGAGACAGGGGCGATGGCTGATATACTGCTAGGATGCAAGGGCCATCATTTTTGAGACTGCCACCCGAGGACGATTCAACGAAGGGTGCGCCAGAGGTTACAACCCACAAGCACACGTTTGCGCCTATTGATAGAGCTGGATGGTGTCAGACTCACAGTACCGCGATTTAAAAGCGGCTATTCGGGCTACAGCAGTAAGTTCCCTCCTTCCCAACGCGACATGGAATGCGGCTCGTTGATGTCGGTACAAGCTCAGATATCCTATCCTGAATGCTTCAGGAGTTAGTTCTATAGAATTATCGTCTAATTACAGCGTCAACTTCGTTTGTTCGAACCCCTTTACCAAGTTATCAATTTACCTCTGCTGCCAAAATGGACTTGCCATAAGCCTGCACTTCTTGAGCTAGGAGTTATCTTGTCCTTTACTGGCTGTCTGGCTGCCATGTTATTGTAGTTCTAATGGGGGGGTTAACATGGTTTATGGTCAAAACCACGCCGAAGGTTATTTCGGCCGAAAAATTAACCATGTTCAACTTTTTATTAACCACGTTCAACTGTGATAGCTAACTAACTGTTTATTCACTAACTGTATACTCTCTTATTTAAATTCCAGATTCTCTCTGTTTATCTCTTACTATGACTTTTAGACACTGCATCCTCTATAATGAGTGTCTGGAGGGGTTACCCCCCAGCTAAGAAAATATGGAATTAATGGTTCATTTGCCCCTGGGATTTAGCAGCGTGCAGGCTACCCCTAGCATAAATACTGAGTATCTAAGAGTCTCTACTATTTTCAGTAGAGATGCTGCTGGTTGAATTATCTGAGATATCTGTATTCATTACAATAGATCAGAATATTATACAGTTTAATATCTCAATATCGTTGCTTCTAGCTGCTCAGTTCTGTATGTGAAAACAGCTATATCTATATCTGAGAATAGTCAAGAACGGAAGAAAGAAGAGGGTTTACTTGAAAATATAAATAGAAGCTAAAGACGCAAGCAGCAAATTGAAGATTTGAGTAGAAGATGTAATTAAGTAGTAATGCTGGTGGCGTTTGTGTCAAACCAGGTCTATCAAGCGGGTTCACCGTCCTCGCTTCGCAATTATGCTGGTAGGGAGTATTGCTCTTGGAAGCAAATTAATGACAATTGATAAATATCTATGGCGAGGGCGAGGTAAGACCGCCAACCCATTCCTAGGTAAGATACTCCTGAGGTCCAGACTAGATAGTATACAAGCACATGATCAAGGAAGCTAAGAAAGATTCCAAGGTTCCAAGTTCAGCTGCATTTCGGGCAAGTTTCCTGCCGCAACAACCCCACAGCTTTGGAATTATCCATCCAAGGCAATAACTGCTCAATCGTCCTGCTGGGCGTTTGTTAGTTCGGAATACGAGAATCTTGTAAACATGGTTTCAACAGAAGAAGGGTGGCATGTTGCCAGCGATGGAGTGAAGTTGTATACCAAGACGTGGAAGGTATGACCTGACCGCCTTGTGTAACCAAATTATCTAGTCCCTTCATGTGGTTTCAACTTGGCTGACTGAAGTACACAGACTGATGGACCACCAAAGGCTATTATTGCATTCGTGCATGGCTTTAGTGATCATTGTATGTTCGTCTCTTTTTGAACTCTCTCCTTCCAATTCGATGACTTTATAATAAAACGAAAAGAGAGCAGCCTTCACATGTCGAGTGACTATGTTAATGCGAAATTTTAGGCAACTCCTACTACGATCTCTTCCCCACATTGGCTTCTTATGGGATTGAAATCAGAGCAGTGGACCAACGGTATATCAGCACTTCCCTTCCTTTTTCCTTTGCTTGAGATTTTGGTTCCCCTCAGCAGCAGACAAGGTGTATAGACTATGGCAGCTGCTTTATCAGGAATATCCATGACAAACAGTGTGCAATTCCAAAAAAGCAATCAAACGCTAAAATCATTGTCTTAACCAGAGGCTGGGGTCGCTCTGTCACTGATAAGGCAAGCCGTGGCCGGACAGGAGGAACGGAGGTTGTCATGTCCGATATCCACTCTTTCGTCACCAGCATCTTCGAGTCCATAAAATCGACAACCGTTTCGGATCACGATGCCTCACATTCAGAGACCCCTGTGTTTATGATGGGACACAGTAAAGGCGGTGCAGAGGTTCTCTACTATGCGCTTAACTCGTCTCTGGATCTACCCCCCATTGCTGGAGTCTTAGCATATTCACCTCTTATTGCGCTTCATCCCAGCACACGACCGTGGAACCTTACGGTCTTCCTGGGTAGAATGGCGTCAAAGATCATGCCAAGTTTCCAGCTTGTAACACCTCTTAATGAATATTTGATGTCAAGAGATAAGCGCATTTGTGAGGAGTGGAGGCGGGATCCTCTCTGTCACGATACGGGGACATTGGAAGGGATCGCTGGAATGATGGATCGGGCATTATGGTTGGAGAGCGAGCAGGCTGGGAAAAACAGCAAATACAAGCTACCTATCTGGGTATGCCATGGCTCAGCGGATGAGATTAATAGTTACGAGGCCAGCAAGCGTTTTGTAGAGAGATTAGAGTCTGATGATAAGACATTCATATCTTATGAGGGTGCCTATCATAAGCTCCATAGTGAGCCAGATGGAGTCAAGGAGTCTCTGGCGAAGGACGTTGCTGAGTGGATTTTCAAACGGTGTGAGGGTCCTGCGAGACCCAACGCGTCCAGGGCGAAATTATAAGGGGAAGCAGGGTTTCCCAGAGTAGGGAATGAGCATTTGCCAGGGATTGTCTCTCATGTAGTATATTTCCATCGCTCACCTGCAATGTATGATCTTTCGTGCGAACCTAATCTATATATGATTGAGATCAACCGAGCGCTACCTAGGCTTTCTTTTTCCTCCATATCCCTACAAATCCGCCACCTGCAATTCTCGCCCCCACCTGAGGTCTGCAGATGAGTACCTCATCTCCATTTATCTTCTCTCTCTTTAACAGACTGGTGAAAGCCTCTACCTCCGTATCAGCAACACTCTCAGACGACTCATCGGACATTTCTTCTGCAATGGCTTCTTGACTTAGAGTGTCATTGGAACTCCGTTTCGTCGCCATCCGGAGCTCCCAGAGCCTCCCACTGCTAATGCCAGGACCTAACTCCACGACTTTTTCCTGAAAAAGCGGCAGTTTCTGTTTCAAAATAAGATCCACGCAGTCCCCAAGCTGCGTTATACTCGGCATAAAAACAGCCAGGACCGCATCATCTCTCATGATCGGGGCGACATGCGGGATCCGCAGGTGTGCAGAGGGCATGTCCAGAACGACATGAGACAAGAAAGGGCCCGGCGACCGTTCATTCGTCGAACGACGCGTCACTTGCTCCTTGATCCATTTCTCAACGCTGGAAACGTAGAAGTCGACATTTCCTACATAGATACCGCGGCGGAATCCGCGGACAATGTTTTCTGCATGTTGGGAGTAGAGTGGGGATATTTCTACGGTGTGGACTATGGCATTACGTTGCGCACGCCATCCATCCCATTCGCGTTGGAGCCCTTCAATCTCAGCTTGAGCTTCACGATCCTCTTTCTCCACCACCTTCTTCTCCTCAGCGGGCTTCTTTTTGGTTTCCGGTAGTTCGAGTATATGTCGCTGTGAACAAGGCGGTCGCCTTGGTGGACATGAGTTTGCAGCGTTAATAGCCCGGGCTAGGTGTAATGTCAATGATCCGTGACCTGTTCCCGCTTCAAGTATTTCCAGCGGCTCTTTTGGCCTTTCTCCCGGAGCCGGCGGTGCGACATGGATGTCTAAGAGAGACACTATTAGGTTGGCATCCGCAGGATAGATCTATTAGACCAACGAGATTAAAAATTGCTAATTTTTGTATTTTATCATCGCGGCATTCGAGAACTTGCTAATGGGCTTAATATTGACATACAGGCGTTACAAGACGTGGAGTTCGTACTATGTAGTCTTCGAACGTAGGATGGGTTGCCCTATACACCGCACCTTGGTTTGAACCCTGTCAGCAGTTGCTCGTTGATTAAACATAGCTTTCAATTGGACGGTATATAAGTCAATTCGTGAC